CAAAGGAAATACTACCAAGTGACATAAAGTGTGAACTTTACCCATAACTAAATAATAACCCGCATGACAATTTACAGTCAAGAAATAATAAACCTGCAGAAACGCACCTGAAAGGAAATTATACACTTATCAAACACTACACGCCATTCAAACCACATAAACAAGTTGATACGGTGACTTATCAGTACTCAAAAATGATAACATTATTTACAGAGAGGTAAACTTAAAAGGCAAATACGAATGTGGTTGCAATATATGTAAGCCATAAACAACTTAATTCAGTAATTACAGAAACCTTCCATTCAAATAGAGATTTCAGCTTGTTGTAGGATAATAATGAAATCAATATAAATTTAGAATCATAGAGGCAACCCTCCAAAAAACTGTGCATGTTTAATAAGAAGGCAAACACTTATCTACATCCAGCAACAAGCGCATATGCTGCCATTGATTTAAAAATATGCCACCCACCATTGACAACTAAAAAAAACTCACAATGACATATACCAAAGTGACAATCTTCCCATCAGATTAGAAATTCATAACCAAAAACTTGATAAAATATCAGGCAGAAATCCCGTAAAGCTAACAAGCAAAATTCAAAACCCCTTTTCAATTCAGGCTAATTCCAGAAGCCAATATTAACAATGAGGAAAACGTGACTTTTTATCTATACCACCCTCTCTATAGATAAAGGAAACATTCGAAAATGCTCCATCTCCACCAAATCTACAAGCTGTGGTTTGAAAATGAATGCAAAGAAGCAGGAAGAAACATACCGTGCAAACTTAAGAAAATTCAAGAACAACCGAACGAAAGAAAATTTGAACATAAAGAAAAACACCAAAGTTAAAGCTTGCTAAAATTTTAAAGAATCCAAATAAAAAACACGAAGTAATTATGCATCAAGAATAAACTTTAATACAAAAAGATAAAAGTATGTGATATCACCAGGGAAATAGCAAGAACTCAGTCAAGCACCTTATTTGCAATAATATAAAGGTAACTGGGAAGGATGATAGAATCTCATGAACTGAAACAGTCTTAGAAAACTCGTCAAAAAACACAAAAATAACTTTCCTATCGTCAAGCAGAAGGAAGAAAAGAAAAAATAGCTTCAAGTTGGAAAACAAAGACATCAGATATAAACTAGATTATGGTCGCTTTATGGAGCAGAAAGCTTATATATAAACTTGATACGGTTGTAGCATCAAAAACGAAGTTTAACTTTGGGAGCTTTCACAACCATGATCTCCAGCCAAGTAATCTTCAACATTTTAACTGCAATCTCAATCGCTATATACTGTCCACCTGATTACTCTTCTTTTTTTCTTTTTTTTTTATATTAGCCTCCACGGCAATGACAGAACTGATAAAACAACAAAAACGTCATTAGAACTGAATCATTTTACAAACAAGCAAAATAGCACACACAGAGTTGAAGCAAACCATTAATAAATACATATTGATAAAGTGGATAAATTTGTGGAACTCATAGCTTTAAAAAAGAAAAAAAAATCTATTTAATATTAAACCCAACATGAAAGTATGGTAGTTCATTCTCACCAGACTCCACATTAGATATACCTTTATTATTATTATTATTATTATTATTATTATTATTATTATTATATTAAACATGAGGAAGTCCAATGTTTTTGATGTATCTCCAAAGATACGCGGTAAAGCTGACAGAATACGTTGACTTCGTTCGTTTATTACAGAACAACTAAACAAAACTAATTTTGGCAATATCAAACTAAGTAACATTTTAAAATTTTAAAACAGGTTGAACTTTTAAAAATATAGTCTTGAAATATATAGAAACATAGAAAAATTGGAATTTTACATACTTATCAAACATTTAAGACAAAACATTGGAAACTTTTATCTATATAAAAAAATAAAATCTTTAAATGTTTAACTTTTATTGGTTTTAAATCCAGCAATATTTTAACCAATATGAAATTTTTAACATTAGCATTTAACATTAATTTTTAGCATGAAAAAACGTAAAAAGGTTGATATGCTGTAAAACAAATCAGTCAGCATAAAGCAGAAGTAAAAATTAACTTCAAAATGGCGTCACTGTCGTCAATCTAAAAGCAGAATTTCTGCTAAAGTATTTGTGATAGTGATGCAGTGGAATTAAATTTTATTTCTTTTCTTGATAACATAGGATATACAAGGTTCAAGGAGGCTATTCGTAATGAAAAAAATTATTTCCCATGCAGGAGAAACGGAAGTAAAATTGATTTATTTAGCTTAAAATAAAAATATATTTTATGTAAATACAAATATCTTTCTTGTTAAGGCCGAATCGTTTTCTTCCTTGTCTACATGTAGCGTTCTGCTTATAGTTTTAAGTTGTATTTTCCTATTTGCAACATCTTCATCCAAACTTCCTTCAATATCTGGGAGCTATGTCTCTTCACGTCTTTCTGCTTTGTTTCTTTCAGTTAGACTTCCTCTTTTTCGACCCAGCTTAGTCTTCCTTTGTTCTATTTGCTCAGACTTTGTGTTATATTCTCCAATCTTTCTTTCCTCGTTATGGATCAAAAACGGTTTCTGCTGTGCTTTTAGATTGCTAGCAAGATCTTCTCTCTATTTCTTATTTTTCCTAAAAATCGCCTTCATTTCTCGCAAAATCTCTCAAATTCCATCAAAAGAGGACAACTGAATTGATTCAATACTCTTCCGGCATTCAATTCCAAAGAAGGCTAGACATTACATAGCAATCCAGCACTTTGTTTTTAAAGATGATCTCTTAATATTTGGCTACTTTCTAAGAGACTTTTTTGTTATTACTATGCACCTTTTCACCGTACCAATCACCAATCCATTGCCATACTAATCAGAGCATAAGGATGCAAAAAGCAATAATCTCACTTTGGTGGAAATGAAATCATGTGTGGTGACATGACGGCCGCTTAATGACGTCACTCTATACAGTGACGAAAATAGCAGTCAATTTCATTTGGTTTACTATGAATCAGACGAAGCAATCATTTATTTGGCTCAAGCTGAGGTAAAATGTGCCTCCCACAGCAGGTTACATGGCGCAGTTTTCCTTTTGGTAATATATCTTCCCCCATATAGAAAGAAACTATCTGCTAAGTCCCGCCGTTTCCTGTTTGTGGAATATCTCTTTGTTTGTGACATAGTAGATGATTCCGTTCGCTTTTATCTGGAGTCCTAAACACAAAACAATGTTCGTATTATATGAAAGATCATATGTTTTTGTTCTCCTTTCATTCTATTTGCTATGTAGATATGTGTTATATTCTCTGTGCGTGGGATGTGTAAATGTGTATATATAGTTCTATGTAAAAGTGACTGAAAACAAAGCATGTTTATCATTCCTTTTAATTTCCGCCATTCCATTCTGTCAGTGAAATATCGGTGTTATTATATCATGGATATAATAATGCCCATAATGGGAGATATACAAATGGGAGAAGAAACCTTTCTTCCGAGCTCTCCCATTAGGATGATCAAATTCCCGCTGAATTAAGATATCTCCGATATGTAACTCATATTTTTGACTGTCCCATTAGCTGCATTCCATCTTCATACTGTTAATGATTATTTCTAGATTTTATTGACTACTGTATATTCTCCTGTATAAGCCGATATAGTGCGAACCCTGTATTTTAACCCATGCAGATAAAGATTACCTGTGTATAATGCAATCGGTTACCGATAATGCATGATTTTTAACTTCTTCAAAAAATTGCATGTTTACAGTGGACCCTCTATTTTTTTGCGTATGAGAACTGGTCATACATACTTGCATTATGATTATAATGCAAGTATGTATGACCAGTTCTCATGTGTATACGGTACTTTTTTTAAAATAATAAACTCGATTTTTTTATGAATCTGTCATCAACATAGTGTCATCTTCGTATCGTATAGTGTCAAGGTTAATAAATTCTTGAATGACTGTTAGTCCGTTTAGAATCATCTAGTTGTGTAAGTTAAATAAATCCAACAAGAGAACACGTCCTTGTAATCATTTCTATTTTTACATAGTCACTTAGCACGTTATTCATCAGCACGCTGCCTGTTTGGTAATAAATAAGTTTACTTTTCTCTATATCGCGAGTTTTCCTCACATTTCAAGATGTCGTTAAGTCAGCCTTTAAGAAGTGCATTTGTTCAATCTGTGAAATATATATATATAAATATTTCCGCATTTTTATCTCGTTCTTTTGACAGCATTTTGACGATCTTTTCAAGTACTCTTACTATCTGAAAGGCGAAAAAACATTTAAACGAACTTCACAATGACGACTAGAGAACACAAACCAATATATTGGGAGCAAAAAAATGATCGTAGTACAAAATTTAACAACTTTCGGCGTAAGGAAGTTGTTGTTTTTTCTTTCTACTATTCCACTTCAAGCGAAATTCTTGTCTATATTAACTAAAATGTTCTTCTTTGTGTCCGTTCAGAGTCTGAGCGATCATGACTCTACACATCTTCCTATCTTTCGTAGCTCTAATTTGTCTTATACCTCCCAGTCCATGTTCTGCTATCCATTTACACAGGTTTCCATATGCACCACTTGACTTCAATATGCCGTGTGAGTGTCAAGTTATCCAAGCCCTCTTTTTTTCATTATGTTCCCCAGAAATTTCAACGTTCCCGAGAATAATTCCATTTCGTCCCCAATTTTCTGAAAATCTGCTCCGTCCAATTTCTACTTCGTCTGTAGAAGCGTCTCTGATACCGCACGTTTCCCCTTCAGTCAATATACCAACTAACAGTTTTGTTTAAAATAGAAAATAATTCTATCCCTGTTAGTAAATTAAAACAATTTGTAATAAATGTACATATTTTTTATATATACGTAAGATGAGCAGCGGCTTTGCGGGGCATTGTCTTTGAAAATATGTGTGGATAGTAAACGCACCCTGTGGTCGAAAAATAAAGGTATAAACGAAATGAACTGTTCAAAATTTGAAATTATCAGATGTCTACTGATGAATGGGTTGATGGCCACATCACGTTGGGACACTGGTTACCTTACGATAACGGAAGTTAAGCAACGTCGAGCCTAGTCAGTACCTAGATGGGTGACTGCTAGGAAATACCAGGTGATGTAAATTTGGATGTGCGGGTGGTGTAATAATGGTTCGTAAATTTTAATTGTAGAGCTGAGGTCCAATTCCCATTGGGTTCGTTATATTCACTTACGCGCAAATACCTTTGGGAAAGGTATGAATCCACCACTTCTCCCTCCAGCTATGGTTTAATTAGTATGACTTGTATCACTATTATTATCTCAAAAATAAAAAAATCTTACCTTCTAAAAATATTTTCTGGCTTTAAATAACCTACAAAGGGTTGATAAGTTGTAGAAAACGAATCAAACAACCCAATGATGAATCGTTTTTCAGTTGTGGGTTTGCTCCCTGGTTCTGAAAGAAAAAGAGAAAAACTGGGAAATTTTGTAAACACCTAATGCATGTGATTAAAACTTTCATTTAGGTTCGAAAACAAAACACTGATAGCAGTGATGATTACACAACTGACTTTGCCAACTAAAAACACGAATCTATTTGGAATAGGCTGATTGGTAAAAGGTGCAAAGTTGTTGAAATCAGAATTTGAACTGTTCACTGGAGGAATTGTCTGATTTGCTAAGTACACGTTAACCTCTTAACGTATAGAACAACCAATGAGGCTTTCGGCAAGAGAAAAATAGCAAAAATACTACAGAATCGAGAAGACTTTTCACGTGATACCTATCAATGGTCAATAGAAACCACTTGTGTGAATATACATTATTAAAAATGAAAAGTGTACGTATTTGTTAAAGTGTGTGTGCAGATTAAAATCTCCGCGCAAACACATAAAGAAACTTATCAAGGTGGCATTTCTTCAATTGTTTGCTCTGAAACATCTACGCAATCTAAATTGTAAATTTGGTAAACAAATAGGAAAGCGGAAATGATACATTATAAATATTTGTAAAATTACAAGTATATTTTATTCGCATTATTCAGTAATTAAAAAATATATTAGTAATATCTAATAGTTCTTTTTCCTATCAATCATAAAAATTATGATAAATCTACCAGAAGTGTGGATTAAAACTATTTCACCTCGTTGTTACTGCAGAACCTTGTCTGAACAACATCGACTTTTTCAAATTACAAAGAAAATCGTTGCTCATCATATTTAATGAAATAATAATCCATGAAGAATAGCTGGCTATACATTATATATATATATATATAAAATTTTGTGCGACCTCATTCCTAAAAGGAATTACACATGATGTCACGCTTGACCATTTCAAACGTGAAGCTTCCTAAAGTATACCAGTATACGGACAAACGAATTCTAACTACCACAAATAAGACATTACCACATCGGTTCTTGATGATGACTGCGAAAGTAGAAAGTACTTGAACAAAAATAAAATATAATCTTTGGATTGTTTATCAACTTCCAGGACAATACTCATCACCTTATCTAGAAATTGGAAAAATACGATAAAAATTAAACAGATTTTTAAAAAAAAATCAAACTTGTTTCGGAATATCAAGTTTGGTTAAAGATCGATTAAGTTCATTGTTAAGGATTTTTATTTTTTATTATGGAGCCTTCTGATAAAAGTTTAAATATAATTTCTGACATGTACAAGTGTGTGCATACTTAGTGGAGAAAGGGATAGCGGCTCGGAATGAGAAGATGGTCGAGAAGTGAGTTAAAATTGCAGCAGTGTTCGTTATATACACGTCTTTCGATTCTTCCAAAAAGTGTAGTTGGTTCTCCACGACTAAAAATTAACGACTAAAAGCAAACTATATGAATGGATAGCCTTGTTGTAAGAACTGAGTTACTGAACTCTCATGAAACTATTTAGTGTGTGTGTGCGTATATATATATATATCTTCTAAAAGCGAAAGTACTCCGAAGTAAAATGTGTTCTCCCAGACAAAACAGCGACTATATATGTAATTGCGAAATTGTATTGGTTATTTTTCCGCTGTAAGAATACAATTCGGTTCTGGCATGTAAGATTTTTTTTAATTCTCAAAGCCAAAATAGCTATCAAGAAACAGAGGAATTAAAAATATATATATTAGCAATATGTTTTTGTGTTATAACGAGATATTCCATTGCCATTGTTATTCTAGGGATATTTGTTTATTGGGATAAATTAGTTTTAATTATAACAACAGAATATCTCATTAATAAGGATGGAAACAGACTGCGTAACCGATAAACTGATTGTGTTATACATATATGATCTTGCGTCAACAGATTCCATTCCTTGGACAACCACCTTTGAGGGAAATTCTTCGCAAATGATGCAGAATTTCGGCAGGTACTCACAGACTTCTTTGCGTCAAAGACACCTGATTTTTACTCCAGAGAATTGTTCAAATAGGGGTACTTTGGCAAAATGTTTTGGATGCCGATGCGGATTTCTTTGAGGACTAAAGGTATGTCAAAATTACCTACCTTTTTGTTACCGTAAAATATTTTTATATATATATATATATATATATATATATATATATATATATATATGGGGGGGTGGGAAACTTCAGATAGAATATGCGTAAAAAGACAATGTGAACAAAAACAAAAGGAAAACTTATCTTACCATTTTGTCCCCTGAGCCAACATACGTGACTATAAAAATGTGAAAAAATGAAAAAAAAACGCGTTAAATTCATAATCTCGTGTTATTTCACATATATAACACATAAACTAATCCCAAGCTAAAATAATTTAAATATTAATTTGCATAACATGTCAAGAACATCTTTTACTCACTTTTCTTTATTAGACATTTAAACTATGTCGCTTGGCGTCCTCCTTAACTTTTCAGATAACCTGACTATGAGCCTTTCTTAAATTTAATAATTTTGAAAAAAATAACATTTCTGCTCTTGTCTATAAATACTTGTTCCAAAATAAAATATTTGTATTTGCTTTCATAAAGTCCTTCAGAGGATGAAACACATCGGCTAAGATAAAATTTTTCTTTTGATTTTTTATATATTATAATAATAATAATGTATTTTATTCCTCGCTGTTTGCTACAGCTCAGTTTCATGCAAGTGGCAATCGTCAGGCAGGGATTGAAAACTGACCATTGTCAAATATAATATTAAGATTTTCACTTACTATTAAGATAGTTGGCCAGTTCATTAATGTGCTCTGTCTCTCTCATATATATTTTAAAAAAGAGAAACCTCAAAAGTTTTTTATTATAATGTGGATTTGTTTTAGTGTATATATTAAATTTTCAGGCAAATAAAAGAAATAAATTTTAAAGGAATACTTTTACATTATGTTCTTTTAATGTTTTATTGTTCGTTTTCTATATTTGTAGTGAGACTTGATCTCATTTTTGGACTGTTAGCAAAAGTGAATTTCTGGCTAAGTCATAATGAAAGTATTAGGTTTGGTCTGGGAGTTGGTGATGATAGGTGTGTTGATGAGAGATGTCTTCCTATCCCTACATTACCCATGAGACTGTGTGGGTAAAACCCGGTAAATTTTAAAAGTTACTCCAAAATTCGCTTGAAGATGAAATGGAACTAATGCTTTTAATTTATTTGCAAAAATAAAATTAGGGGTTTTTAGCTTCTATTTTTGAAACATGGTTGGAACTGTGTAGCGAAAATAACCATATTTTAAATCAATTAATTTATAATATATATATATATATATATATATATATATATATATATATATATATATGTAACGCCGATCCTTTCGCACGGTGTCAATTGTAACGCGATTTTTTGGTCAAGGCGTCCATGTGACACCTTATCCTAACCAACCTGGACCGACATCATCCACAAGACCGGCCGTTGGTCCTGTATGCTCCAGTATTACAGGTTAGACCTAAGTCTCCGGTTTCAAATATCGATTCGATTCCACTCACCAGCCACGTTGTGATTTTTGATCCTGGCGAGTAGTTATCGGGTCGGAGAATTCCCAAAGCTCTCCGTTGGTCTATCTGCATGCTTGTTGGGTGAGAATCGGGTTAACAGCAAATAAATATGGCCAAGTCGATCCGATTTTAGAGGGACAAAAAGTTATATATATATATATATATATATATATATATATATATATATATATATATATATATATAACATCAACAATACAATGCTTTGCTCTGTTTTACTGCATATCAACCTCAATGGGTTATTTAATCCCGACAAGATTTTTACAATAGATTCGTATGAATAGAATATATGTTCTTTGTAAAGAAACAGTTTGCAGATTCGGTTTCATTGATATACATTTGGGTTGTTGTCGAGCATCTGCTTTCATTGATGTATTGTATTATACTTTTTCTAGAGAAACTGATTTTGACATTCTCATTTGGTTTATAATTTTTGGTAGAGTCTTAATGTTTTGAGAAATTATATTATATCATCCACTTTTACTTTTTCAAACATAATGTTTATATTATAATATTTTTGTCTTGAGAGAGCACTCTGTTAATATATGTTTAATAGTATATGCCATTTTACATGCTTCACATATTGATTGATCGTTGTTAAGTACGAGTGGGTTATTCTCGCATGGCCAGTGCGTACATGAGCCAGTACCACTTCTTCTTTGCCAGATTTTCTGGCAGCTGATTTACATTCTCCTAGTTTGGACTGAATTGCAAAGAGTTTGTGTGGGTTATCATACCAGTACAGTAGCTATTTCTTTTGAATATATTTATTAATAACCTCCTTAAAACCTGTGTATGAGATTTAGATCTTTGTATCCACATTCACATCTAAAACCGACTTTCCTGTTGGTTCTGCTTCATCATTACCTTTAACTCCGATGTGGTTCAAAATCCAGCTTACTTTGATGGCTTTATGCTTGTTAATAGTACGCATTAGGCATATTTTCATATCATCTATTTCTACAGATGTATTGTGAGCTTTCTTTAAAGATTCATTTAGTTCCTCTATAGTGAATGATGGGTTATAGATCTCAGCGTTATTTGATTTAATGTTTAACTTTTGTTTTTCCGCGTTTTGTTTGAGCTTCAGAAATTGTTGGTTACCATTCTTGACAGATGAGATTTTGTATATCCTTTTTGCTGGTTGTTTTACCTTTATTTAT